GGCATCACATCATTTCTAAGAAAGTTCTCTATGTAACCAGAAGGACTACATCCTGTATGCAGCAGGAAAGTACGTCTTCCACACACACCCAAATCTCAGTGACTTAATACTCATTCACTCTACTGGTCCACGAATTTTTTAAAGATGCTGGGTCTATCCTGTAGCTTTTTATCTAGCCACAAGATTCCACAACTGCTACCAAAAGAAAAGAACTTCTTTCAGGTCTTCTCACTGTTTCTACTAAGATTTGACATATCGCACTTTTATTCACAACTCCTTAGTCAAAGCACATCATGCCATAAGAAAGGTTAGAAAAGGGAATCCTCTCATGTGTCTGGAATGACCACCAGGTCCTCAGTTCCTTTTTATGCCAATCCCTCTACTAAACACAAACGACTTCCCTTACGTAATAGTGATAATGAGGTAATTCTTTGGAAAACACCACCAAAAAAGTGCTTCCCAACATAAGCATACCAACTGTTTCTCTAGGGAAAAAATGGAACATGAAGATAGGAGATAAATGGACATCATATTACTATATATATATATATATTCTTTTCCTTCAGATACAAATCAGTGAAAATGCTACTTGGTACTACCTCTAAAAACAGAAGTATTATAAGACAGATACATTAAATCCTCAGATCTTTATTCTTTTTGCTACCAAAAGTTCTGAGAAAATGTCTTTGAAAGAGATAAATGAATATTCCTCCTTTTTCATTTACTATTTCAAACAAAGCTATAATTTAATCTTCCAATATGAAAGCTCAAGTGCTGTAGTAACCTCATCTTTGCACAATTACAGAAAGAAATATGAACAGTTTTTGTCAGTGAAGAGACACCTGCTACTGAGTGTCAAGGAAAAACACAGCTACACAGTTCCAAAGGACATAGTTCCTTATAGGCATTTGTGAATAAAAGTAGATACACTGACCAAGAGGTGAGCTCATTAGAATCACCCATTGTTCAAACTACTGCACATAATCACTGTACAACTTATGAAAAATGTCTTTTGAAAAATTTCTCCTCTGCCACAGATTTTTACACTAATCTCTCTTTCTTTAGAGCAGAATCAAAATACCGTTATTTGAGAGGGTGATATACAGTATGCAAATACTCTTTTATTTAAAATCTCACCAATGTTTCCTGTATTCTATCCTAAAGCTAAAAAGAAAAACAAATACCTTTTATACTTGCTAAATCTCTTTTATCTGAAAAGCATAAACACAAAGAAAGATCTTTTTGCTTCCCATATAATTTCCATTTTAAAATTTTTGCTTTAGATTTTCCTTTTCAAAAATCATGAGTAGTGTTAAGATAATGTAACTGTACAAAAATGGATAAAATAGAAAAATATTTTAAAGTGGCATTCAAAATTTTAAATTATTTTATCCTTTATGCGATTCAAGTACTACTTTTGAATAATAATAAAAAATCTCCCAAATATATTATCTAATTATTAATGATTTTACAGAAAAAATGTCAGTAAGTATGAATTTTGGTTAACTCTTCATTTAGGAATATTACCTATTTGCCAGTGACTATACTTAAATTTATAATCATTATTATTATTATTACTAATTTGGTTTCTTGAAGCAGGGTCTCATGTGGCCGAGGCTGGCCTTCAACTCATTATGCAGCTCAGACTGGCCTCAAACTTGTGGCAATCCTCCTGCCTCAGCCTCTGGAATGCTGGGAATACAGGCATGTACAACCACACACAGTTAAATGGTTATTTTTAAAACAATTAAATTATGTTTTAGTTACCTTTTTTTTTTTTTTTTTTTTTTTTGGTACCAGGGATTGAATTCAGGTCCTTGCGCTTGCAAGGCAGGCCACCGAACTGCTGAGCTAAATCCCCTGCTCTAGTTTACCTTTTTAATATATGTTATTACATATGCCAAAATTAAAACATTTGTATAAAAGATATTGATAATAGACTGGAATAAAAATGAGCAAACAAAATTATTCTAAGATGCTTAAGAAAAGATTCTAGCATGGATTCCTTTCTTCTGAAAGAATTGTGATTAAGCATAGACAACGATAACAATCATAGGGCCTATGGATTACTATAAGAATGGCTCACCTATGCAAAAAAAATTTGTGCAAACTTAGTAACTAACATTGAACAATTACCAATGGGCTGACCTTGAAAATATATGAATACAAAATGTGTAAATACATAGTAAGTAGATATTGTTTTGAAATCTAGTTCATAAACACTTATGACATCTCCGTCCTAGTTGAGATTTTTCAGACTCCTGTAAGAGAATTCTATAGTGGGGGAGGTTTCACAGAATCTCATATTCTTTTTTTTTTTCCAGGTCATCCACCTTTTTTTTTTTCTCATTGAGTTTATTGGTACATTTTAGTATGTATACAGTACAGTTATATTCATCATTGGGATCTCATACCTTTATATGACAGGTCTTGGTTCTCATTTTTTCCCCTTAGCCCTGCCTTCATTTCACCCCCTCCTGCCTTCCCCATTTACAACTACTTTATTTCCAATTTTCTCATGTTTTTTTTCTTTTCCCTTATTTCATTTCCCCTACCCTTCCCATTTACATACACCTTTAGCCCTTTTCTTCCTATTTCACATTGTCAATTATACCATTAGGATCTTATGTACCATTATAGTTTTTCACAGCAGAGAAACTATTCTGTATTTATTCATGTGTGACTTACTTATTTCACTTAGGAGTATATCCTTAATATGTATCCATTTTCCTATGAATAACTCTAATTTCTCATTCTTTATGGATGAGTAGTATTCCATTTTATAGAAAAACCACATCTTCTTTATCCAGTTTCCAACTGATTGGCAAATGGGCTGTTTCCAAGTTTTAGCTATTACAAACTGTGCCGCTATAAACACAGGTGTGCATATATCACTGTGATGTGATTCTTTTAATTGTTTTGGAAAGATACCCAGCAGAGGGATGGCTGGGTCAAATGGATCCTCTAGCCCCAGCTCTTTGAGGTATCTCCATATTGATTTCCATAGTGGTTGCACCAGTCTGCACACCCACCAACAATGGAGAAGGGTTCCTTTCTCCTCACAACCCCACCAACATTTGTTATTATGTGATTTATTGATGGCAGCCATTCTTTGTAGGGTGAGGTGGAATCTCAGTGTTGGTTTCATCTACATCTCTCTAATGACCAGTGATGTGGAACATTTTTTCATATATTCACTTGCTGCTTTTACTTCTTTGTCTGAGACATGTCTGTTCATTTCAGATGCCCATTTTTGAATCGGCTCTTTATATTTGGGTGGGTTGATTTTTTGAGTTCTTTATATATTCTAGATAATAGTCCTTTGTCTGAGGAATAGCTGGTAAAATTTTTTTTCCACATTGTACGTTGTCTCTTAGTTCTGTTGATGGATTCTTTTGCAGTACAGAAGCTTTTTAATAAGATGAGATCCCAGTTGTTGATTCTTTTTGCTAGATCCTGTGCTACTGAGGATTTGTTCATAAAGTCTTCTCCTATGCTAATGTCTTCAAGAGTTCTGCCTAACTTATCTTCCAGCAAATTTAGTGACTCTTCTTTAATATTTAGATCTTTAATCCACTTGGATTTTAGTTTAATGTATGGTGAAAAATAAGGGTATAGTTTTAATCAGATTCTTATTTAGCACAATTAGCCAAAGAACAATTAAGGACAATCATTTAGAAATGTGCACACCAATTTATATACACTTTATTCTCCTAGAAGTAGTAAATTATAATGGCTAACAGTGTCAGAGACCTAGGCCTATAATAATAGCACCTACCTCATAGAGCTGTCAGAATTAACAAAGTCAATACATAGGCTGGGAAGTTTAATGTCTATAGCAAAATATACCTTCAATATGTATTTGCTATAATTATTTTATTTTTTTAGACAAGCTATATAAGGCACAAGCTGAAAAAATATACACAGAAGTAAAACAGCACTGTAAAACTAGGCCAAACTTGACTCACAGAGACAAGGGTGAATAAAGAGCTACAAAGCCATATTCACTTTCACATTACTGAAAAATCCACTTTTGTTTGCCTGCTAAGAGAAGTGAGTTCGAGATATCATACATCTCTAATAATATTTACCGGTAGTGCTGATGCACAAAACATAACATAGATTGTTTTTCATCAAGTACATATTTACCATGATTTTCGTACCTTCCATGTTTAAAAAAAACCCAGAATGAAACCGAAGAATAAACAAATTTTTCTTCTTTCCTTTCAAAAGGCTGGATTTTTCCAGCACAAATTATATCAATCACAGTGTTTCTGAGAATTAGCTTGCACAGCTTCTCACAGATCTGGGAGCCCCACTGTGCTTGCAGGATGCCCCGAAGTCAGACACAGTCACCTTTCTTCCGGTCTCTACATTCTATCTTTTCTATTGTAACATGTTGAAATACATATAAATGATCATTACCTCAGCAAACACAAAGGCTAATAAAACATGTATCTTTTCTTTTAAAAAATATAATGAATGCTTATTTAAATGAAAATAAACTTGTTATAATAAAAGACATAACGCCAGGAATCCCACTCACAATACTCTGCCTCACTTCAAACACTTATCTCATAAGGACATGTTTTTTGACAGCTACAGTGATGCCAAAGCGTGAGAGGAAATAATGTAGAGAAAACATGCCAATAGGCCAGCCATGATTTGTAAAGAAGTTTCTTCTTTTTATATTACTTCTTCCTCAGGACAGCTTGCTTTGGCTGAGTCAAAAATCTACTTATTTCTGGTCAAGTAGTGCACCACTGTATTAGCAAAACTTCTGTCTTATAAATGCACAGAAAATAACATAGATTATCTTTGTTTATAGGATATGCGTGCAACAATATGTAAGCAGACACTAATTCATAAAGTAAATGATTGTATGGAAACATAATAATATCTCTAGGTAGAATTCTGTATATCTAAGAAAAATTACATCTAACCCAAGTCTTTTAGTGGATGAGGTGAGGCAAGGCAGAAATACATGAAATATTTCTTACCAGAATAAAATGATCCTAACTTTTCCTTTTTTCCAGAAAGCTCTTGCAGACTTTCCCCAGTCGGGATAAGGCTTGTCCTGAAGCATCATATCAGTGACCTGAAGCAAGGAAAGGAACTGAGTTAGCACTTTCAGAAATCTTAAATGCAGATTTAAATAAGCTTACAATTTACATTCCACTGAAAGTAGAATATGTACATATTTTAATGTTAGAATATATGAACAGATAAATAGAAGTATATATACCTCATCCAACTAAAACCTTTAATAATTTATTTGACTTTACATACTGAATGAGCACAATTCAGGTCATTCGACATGTCAAATGCTGAATGTTTTTTAAACATCAATTAAAATACCATTTGTAAGAAGGCACATTTGCATGCTAATGTTTCTTCAGAAATAAACACACAACTGGTGATTGAAAAACACAGTGAATTTTGCCATTTTTAAAAGCCTATTACAGAAAAAGACACATTGCCAAAAATGATGAGATGTGTGCTAAGAGAGGGGAAGAATTTTGAATACTTTTAGACGGATCAACTTAGAGGCAATGTGTCTTTTACTATAATATATTTTTAGAAATTTAAATATTCACCACGTGTTTATCACACCTCATTGATCAATCATTTACAGCAATTTCTGTAAAATAAAAGCATCGTGGTGTTTCCTCTCCTACCTTGTTTACCAGAGCTGGCACTGCATGAGTTCTCGCTCTTCCCCAAAGCCACAACGATCATGAAAGTTAAACAAGTTAAAGCACTCCAGAACTGCTTCAAAAAGCGGCAAGGAACGATGAGATGAGTACGTTCCAAGCAAGGAGGTTCTACTTTGAGGGACATTCATGGCAATGTGTCTATTACTGTGCTGATTTTTTTATTACGCCCTGTAATAACAAATAAAATACCATATTCTTGCTTGTCTAAATCAGAAACTCCAAAATCCAAATACATCCTGGTATTCTGCAGACTTTGCTTTCAGTTAACATATTATCTTCTTTCTTCCTGCTTTCCATTCAACCACGTGAAGCACAATGTTTACATCGTGTTCCAATCCAGTCGCCCTAGTTTGCATTCTCCCACCTGTAATCTATGCCTTCCTCCAAATACTTTCTCCTTCCCTCAGACCCACAGACTGCCCATCTGCTGCAGGCTGCACCAGTGTGCCGGGACACAGCAGTACCACAATGAATGTCTCCAGTTTTCTCCACTAGTACGGGGCTTCTCTCTAGTTCCAGACCCCTTCTCCTCAAACAATAGATCCCTCTCCAGCTTCTATTTTTTTAAACTTATATACACATTTTTCTCTCTCTACTAGGATTTCAAATTCATGAAAGTGAAGAAGTATCTTTTTTCCTAACATGTTACTCCATTATATCAAAGATCTAATGGATTTAAATATTTATTCAAAGGAGAAATGACAAAATGAATGAAAATATAAACACTTCTTTTTAAAGACCCATTAATAAAGTAAATTGTTCATTAGCCACTTCACATATTAATGGCTTCAGTATATGTCTAATCACACACAGGTAACTTATTATACAAGCATTTTAAAAGCCTTATGAGGGTAACATATTAATATTCTTTTTCTAAAACATATATTTCTGTATGTATGTACATATTCTTCCTCTCTCACACCTTCTCTCACTCTCCCCTTCAAAAAGAGAAAAGATATTCTACTAATTATAATTTTAACTAATGCTGCTCAAACTCAAATACACAAGGCAGATTCAAAATTAAGAAAACTGACAAAGAATAACGAACACTGCATGGAGTACAAGAGAATTTTATTACCCATTAAGATTACTCTTCACATGCCTTTGTAGCTTTCACACTGAACTTAAGCATACTGTCCAACATTTGCCTCAAAATAGATAAGATACAATCATTTTTAAGGAATGATTGTGAATTAATGAGTAGTCTCTCTGGATCAGTGACCCCTTTCAATAATACTAGGTTTCCCATTGCTTCTCAAGCAAGCACAACTTTCTTTATCACACGGAGTCCAAGAAATGGTCTCCAAACAAAGGCTCTAGCTTGCTATGCTGGCCTAAGAGGCATCTAGAAAGGTGGACAAGGAACCCAGTTCCAGGAAAGATTTCAGTTTGATTCTTACATGTATTCTGTCTCAATGTCATTTCTGGGAATAGAGTTCCCAAGATTCTCTTGGATGAGCACTAAAGTTAGTTAGATTACTGCTCGCCACTGGATTACAGCGTGGATTTCAGTCAGCTCTGCCTAAGTTAGGCCTGTAACAATTTTATGCAATGTGGCGTCACTGTTGAATCTGCAAAGATTCATCAACCAAGTGGCTTTAATATAAACTCCCAGTTAATTTATTTAAACTGTCAATCACCTTAATAAATGGAATGTAACAGACATTAAGATTTCAAAAGAGGAAAAACATTTGCTTATTTTTAAAAGAAAGCTAGTTAGCTGGTGATTTTCTCTTCTATTTCTTCCTGATCCTTTAAAATTGCAAGATTTTATAACAGACTAATGTTCATGGACTATATTTTCTTTCCAAAATTATTCGTGGTATTTATCAAAATGAGCAAAGGGAAGAAGATAGAATAAAGTTAACCATAGACCTATTTTGGAGGGTACCAGGGATCAAACTAGGGTTCTTGTGCTTGTGAGGCAGGCAGCGGAACCACTGAGCTAAATCCCCAGCCCCTTCAACTATAAATCAAATGAAACATATTGTTACTAAAAAAAATAAAGGTGAAAGCAGAGAAATTTAAATCCTCTATATTCTTGGGCATAAAATAGTTTTATAACTTCCCTCAAGGAAAGATGAGCTATTCTTCCAAATATATTAATTTCATAATCTTTTTGAATAGCAGCAACTCATGTCAAATATTTTATTTCAAGATTAAGAAAATAAATAATAAATATTTCATGTTTGACCAGACTTTGAAAGATATTTGATTAATTCTGTTCTGCAACATTTATCTGGTTCCTAGAAGAGATGGCATGACAATAAACACTTTCAAGCAACAAATTATTACTGGGTGGATTTTATTCAATTTTCAGTATTTTCTCTAGGGCATTTTCTGGAAAATACACTTCTAGAAGGAGGAAATCTGCTGCTGTGTGGGCAATTATTACAGCAGCATTTTTCATAAAAAATGATATTCAAGGATAAAGCATTTTCTAACAAAAAAGGTGAGGTGAGGCCAAGACAGATTCTTCGTGAAGCCAGGCAGCTGATCTTTTTCGCCCTAGCTACAACTCTTTATTTGAAGTCATATCATCAGATCAATGTCAGGTCACTTGCAGCTAAATTGTCAGTTGCAGAGACGGTCATTAGAGGGATGCATTCAATAAAGGAAAATCCAATTACCTTTTGCATTAGAGAAATCAAATTCACTCATATTGTTGGTCAAGGACAATCTTTGTGGGAAAGATGCAGGGAAGGGAGGCTGTGGATGAGGTAAGAATGTTGTTGTGTAGCATAAACACAATTATAAAACCTGCTGTTGTTTTTCCAACAGACAGATATTAGAATGAGAAACTGGTCTTTCTAAGCTGAGGGAAAGTCGTTTAACTCTCTGAGGCTCACAATCCTCTCCTTCTCTTTCCTCTCTCTTAGGCTTCTGCCCAGGACACAGAAATTCATTATGGACACTTAACCACATTATACCTGGTCAGGGTCTTTCTCAGTAGACTAGATGCTACTTTAGGGGATAGGTACTGTACAGTCTGAGACAGAAAATACATTTTGAAGTTTAAAAGTCAGTAAATGACTGTAAAAACAAATTTTCTCTACAGACACCCAAGTGAAGTCTTTGTTCCACTATGAGTCAAGCCTGTAGGGTGCTACAAGAACAACAGCAGGAAGATCGAAAACGGCAGACGTTTTCTAAAGTTTCACAGAGCACTTCATTCTTTGGTGTACTTTTCTTATTAATTGTCATAGTAACTTTATAAAATAAATGATTATTTCCCACCTTTCACCAATGGAGAGAGAAAAGATGCTAGTGAGATTAAATAACAGGCAAGATTACACACCTAATATCTTGTTTTGTACACCAGGTTGCAGCCTGCCAACCTAACTTCTTGGTTTCTTACCAATGTTTTATTCGAGGCAAAGTAATTAACCCCTTTGTGCTTCAATTTCTTATTCTCCATCCATGAGCCTTTACAGTTCTGCTTCTTTTTTGTCTGCTCCCCCGCTACCATTCTATTTTACAATATTATTTGTCCTATTAACTCTTAACTCTTTGAATGTCTTATATCTCTATTTTATTCATCATTTTAAAATTATAGCCTGGCAAGGTGGCACATGCCTGTAATTCCAGCACTCAGGAAGCTGAGGCAGGAGGATTGCTGTGAGTTCGAGACCAGCCCGGGCTGCATAGTGAGTTCCAGGTGAGTCTCAACTACATAGTGAGGAAAAAAAAAAACACAACTACATAGTGAGATCCTGTCTCTAAATAAATAATTATACTTTCATATGTCATCGTGAAAATTGAGAAAATAAAAATATAGCTTTTTACATATCATTTCTATGTTTTTAGGGCTTAAGAATATTTCTACATTCTGCATGTCTTTTAAAATTGGCCTTATAATTAAATAGACTCCATGATCTTTTCCAGTATTTTGGATAAACTTTGTCCACTATTTCCAGTATCTGAACTTTGTTTGACAATGAATTTACCAGGAAAGAGGATGACAAACATGTGATCTACAAGCAATTTTTTTTTGTAGCTGGCCAATAATTAGACTGAGAAATTACTGAATGATACTTCTTTAGGGATTACAAACATTGCTTCAATGTCTTAACACTACAGAGTGATGTTAGCAGAAAACCGAGAGACCGGAAGTATCATTATGATGATGATGATGATGATCATGATGATGATGATGATGATGATGATGATGATGATGATGATGGTGCTTTCCCTGATTAATTGCCTTATTGCTTGAATGTCAAAAACATTTGTTATGCTTTCTTGAGGGGCAGATTTTGAGTGTAACAATTTGGCTAAGCTTACTGGCTATGTCTTTTTTCTAGGTATGATTTGGGCTTTGAATCTAAACATTGAAGTTCTCCCTTATTCTGTTAGGTCTTTTGAAGTCTGTCCTTAACTA